ACTTCATGGTGGTGGTTGCCAAGCTTGCTCTTCCCATGCACCACTCACCTCAGGGCCACCGGAAATTCAAAAAATAAGGCTTTTCCCTGTTATGATTTTCCTGGAACCAGTCAGTTTGAAGAAGTTTCTATGGAGCACTGAGATACCTCTCAAGCCTCCTAATAATAGTATATCTTAATATAATATATCTTAATAATATTCATGCCTTTTTATTTACTTTCTCAAATCACAGCAACACAGAAGAGAAACCAAAGAGAGAGAAAGAGAGAGAGAGAGAGTTGTTTGAAAAACCTTCTTGGAGCCAAGTCTTGCAGGGCCAAGGCTCTACCAGCCACATATTTATTTTAAACACTGTTATTTGGTTTACATTTTCTTGTGGTTCCGACAATGATCCTGCAGCTTCTTCAAAGCCAGGAGAGCGCTGTGGAAGCACAATAGACAGGAAGATTCCAACCAATATGACCCTTAGTGGCTTCCTCTGGGCTCCCCCTACATGACTCATAAAGGTGTCTTTAGCCGACTTTAAATTCCAGTTGTCCTACAGGTTCCAGATTGACTTGGCCAAATTAATAGGCGGGGCCGACTCTTTTGGCAATTATCCATTCAGCTGTCAGGGAGGAGCCTTCTGGCTCTAACTCCCCTTTTCCCCCTGGGGCCAGGCCACTGGCTTTCCCCAGTGCCCGGGTGCTGGTCCCTTACCTGCAGGTCTCAAAGCCAATGCTCAGGGCTTGCATCATCTGTTCCATGGTGGGCAGCGTGCTGTTGAAAGCATTGCAGAGGTCAGCTGCCTCTGTCCTAGAGATGCTGTAGCGACCATTTTTCTCCACATGGAATACACCTGAGTAGCGGCAGGTGATATTTAAATCTGTGGGATGAAACAGAAATGTTAAGATTCTTTTGCATAAATAATTTGGGAACAGTAAGAAGTTCATTTTAGGATATACTCCTTAAAAAGCCAGATACAATTCTCGACTGGCCAGAGCCTTCAAAATTCACTCCAGCATTCCAAAGCGCCATTACATTAAGCTCAAATCTAAGATAAGACACGTTAAAGTAGCCTCATTCTTACATTCTCTCCATCAGGTTTCAAAAGGTTTCAATAAAGGTTTCAAAAGACATGATTTACTTCGACGATTAAAGTAATACAAACTCACAGAAAATATACAAAATTCAGGGAAATAATAAAGGAAAACAAGTCCACCACTAAGAAAACTATAGCAAACATTTTGCTGTATCTTCTTCCGGTTTTTTTATTGAATACACACACGCTCATGCACACACACATACATGATATATATGCACATATTATATATAATATATACACACACATTTGTATAGCGGAAATAGTACTAATTCCACAGTTCTAGTGTTGGGGGCCTTTTTTCCACTTAATCCTGTATGACAAGCATTTTCCACAATCAAGTGCTGTTGCTCCCTGGCTTATAACCTCTGATGGCTTTTGGTTGCCCCAGAATAAGTTTCCTTATCATGGCCAAGACCAACATGATCTGGCTCCTGCATCCCTCTCTAACGTCGAAGTAGCTTGCTCTGCTCTAAGAACAAAGTTTTCCTTCAATTCCCTCAGTCACTCTGAGCTCCTTCCCATCTTAGAACATTTATGTCTGTCTGCCTTTCCCTCTGTCACCTGGGTGGTTCGTTTTTGCCATTCAGAATTTCAACTCCAGGTCACCTCACCTTAGAGTCCTTCCCTAAACACCCTTATTCAACCCCCATCCTCTCCCGCTCCTCATCTGGCTATTGTGTCTTCACAACAATGTGTTCATCTGTTTATGCACATGGTTATTGTCCTCTCTCCTTCCTGCAATAAAAGCTCTGAGAAAGCCACGGCCTTCTACTTGTTTGCAGCTGTTTCTCCAACACGACAGTGCCCAACAGAGAGTAGATGCTCAAAAAGTATTTACTGAATAAATAAATGACTCATTGAAATTTCCTCAAAAACACGCTTTTAATATATTGACAAAATCCAAGACCTGCTATTTCTCCCAAGAGTTAATGACATTGAAAATGGAACCAACTGCTATCAGCTGGGTAAAGAATTCTACAAGGTCTGTTGTGAGCTTTGTAGATATTAATCTGAAATCTCAAGAGGAAGCTGGAAATCATCCTGTTCTACTTGATCCTGTGTCACAATCTCAAAAGACTTCAAAGACCTTAACTGAAAATTCGTTATTCTTCTGGAACGACATTATTCCATTTGCACTTGAGTAAACTCCACACAGAAAGGTTAAGTCATTGAGACTGTCCTGGTGAAGCTTGATTCCTCCCGAGCACTCTCTTGGGTCTCAATGACAGTCCTTATCCAAGTAGACAGGCTGACACTGTCTTTGGGCCATGGCCTAGGTGCTAGGCCAGGCACCACTCTGTGTTAGTTAAGAGCCAGGCCTGGAATCCAACGTAAGTGACTTTAACCCAGACTCCATCTCTTCCTTGCACAGGTCCAAAGGTGTCTGAGAAGATTCTACATATTTACCAATGAGAAAATTAAGAAGTGAGTTGCCCAAGGAAGTAAGTATTTCTATCTAGAGCCTACTGACTCCTTCCTGGATGTCAGTTGCTTCATTCTACTTCTCTGAGTTGACAGAAATAAGAGAAGAGACCTACTACTGCAGCGTCCCTGTGTACCCAGCACCTCTGAGGTTCTGGGTTGCATCATCTTCACCAGAACCCTGAGAGGTGAGTTTTATGTATTAAATATGTATATGTTATTTATAGGTGAAGAAATTGAAGGTCAGGAAAATTAAACAACTTCTCAAAGTCACCCAGCTCTTAAGTAGCAGAGCTGGAAATCTATCTGTTTAACACCAAAACCCACGCTTTGAACCACTTTATTATGTGCCCCGGGATTCTTTCCTATCATTAGCACAACTGGAGAAAGAAGAGAGGCACATCTAAACAGCTGTTAAATAATGACAAAGATAGGGTCATTTTTAGTGAATGATACAGGCAACAACTGCTTTCTCCTTCCTGAGGAGGAAGCAGGTTTCAACCACTAGAAGACAGTGTCTGACAAATGCAAAATGAGATAAGAGAACTGTTGAAATTCTATATTATCTGAAAATAGTAAAAACAAATAAGAAATAGAGCCTGCAAAGACATAAGCCAATGTCAATTATTTTTCTTTTCTTTTGTTTGCATCCATAACAGATGGGTGCTTAAAAAACTCCAAACATCAGAACTTGGTGAAATGGAGAAAACATGTTTTTGTGTAGCTTATTCTTTTTCCGGTCTAATGGCATCCTCGTAAGACACTCACGCAACACTTGGCCGACAAGGCACCAAGAGCACACCGGAGGGAAATGTTCAAGGCCCTTTTGCAATACTATTTGTTTTCACTGACATTTTCAGCTTGGGCCTCAGTTGGCCAGTCTCACAAAGGGAAATTGTCACTCTGCATGACAGCCCTTCCAGGGCCTCTTCCTTGTCGAGCACATGAAAGAAAAATAAAGCATCCCAATCAGCTTCTTGGAGGTAAGGCTGATCGGAGAGACTTCAGCTGGACGCCAGGAGTAGCAAACTACTGGCCCGCACCCAGCCCAGGTGCTTGCCGTCACTCAGGTTAAAAATAAAGTCTGAGGCATGGACAGTGGTTGCAAGCTAAACGGCAGTTTTTTTCTTATTAAAATCATTTCTAGCTTGCCACCTGGAAGACAGAATATGCAAATGCAAGAGGAACCAATGCAGGCTCGGACTTTTGAGTAAAATCCCTGGAGTTTCTTGTGCGGCAGGCAACATAACTTCATTGCCAATACATGCGTGCACTGTGTGAGTGTGTCCACATGTGTGTATGCAAGGGAGTACGTGGTTTTGCATGTGCATGTGATCAGCCAATACAGGATGAAAGAGATAAACCCAACCTTCAGCCTTCCTGGGCTTGGAGGCTTAAACAGGGCTTGACACATTGTAGGTGTCTGCAAAGGGCTGCTGAATGAATGAAGAAATTCTACTGAAAGTAAAAATTCCACAGCTTACATTTATCTTCATCTTGTGAAAAAGTCCAGCTCATAACCCTGATGGTCTTTAGAAATAGAGGAATTGCAATGATGGTAACAAATTCTTCATGTCAGGACAACTATCCTATGAGTATTCACAATTCCCCTCCTCTGGGCCCCTCTTGCCTTAAAAGGGACCAAAGATTTCAGGGCTGTGTATCATTTAAACCTTGATAAGGTATGAAGACATTCCATCAGGTTTCCTTAACACCTGTGCAAACCCAAATTATTACCCCAGAGGGTATTAATAACGCCAAAGTAATAATACTGGCTAATACTTACTGTGTACCTATAATGTATATGGCAGGTACTCTTTTAAGCACTTTAGGAGCATTAATTCATTTTATCCTTAAAACAACCCTATGAGGGGTAATATTATTATCCCCACTTTCCAGATACAGAAACTAAGGCATGGGAGTGGGGGGCAGAAAAGAAATAGCCCTGGCTTCACAGAGGTGGTAATGGCAGAGCCAGTATTCAAACCCAACCAGTCTTGGTACCAGGAGCCCACAGGCTTAACCACTTGGCTACTACTCCTAACCTCAGTTTAGGTAACTTTTTCTGACCTCTCAACATCCCCAAAGCATCACTGCCAATATTCCCAAGGTTTGAGTAGAGTTAAGGTAAGGTTGAGGCGTGAGCAGCCACAGACCACAGAACACTGCTGCACAGTGTGCCAAGGTCTCTGCCAATGGCGCTACCCACCCTGCAAACCACTGCAGAGAGGCAGGACTTCTCTGATGTTTGCGTGTCTCTCCCGAGAAACAGAGACCTCTGTGATTCAGGATTCACTTTGACTAAAGAGGCTAATATAAATGGCTGATTGCATCTCTCAAACAAGCCCTTCCAGCTGGAAATAAATCAAGAATGTTTTCCGTTGAGTCCTCTGGTCTCCAATAAATCTCCCGAATCATGTAATGAGTAAACTGTCCCAAGTCCCTCCCTCTGAGAGACAGAATGGGCTCGACGGAAAACAGTGACTGTTTGAGGCCACTTTTGGCTTTGGAGAGGAGCCTCCCCAAGGAAGAAATGCCACTGGACCTTCAGGGGTTCATCATCACCGGGCCCAGCATCTAGGAACCTCATCTGCCCCTGTGGGAAGAGGTCTGCTAGGGAGCTGTCAGGAAGGCTAGAAAAAGGAGCTCTCCAAGAGAGTTTCTTTATTCTATAAAGCTAGTCTCCAGCACCAAAGTTACATGAAGGTCGGTAGTTCACTCTAGTTTGGACCTGCCCATACCTGGTTCAAATCCTGCCCCTGCCACTCACTCCAGGTTAGACAGCTAGTTAGTTACTTAATCTCTCTGACAGTCAGCCTCCTCCTTGATGGGGTGACAATGCCAATCTCTCAGGGTTTGTGGGATTCTGAAATGAGATAAGGTAGGTCAAACACTTGATATGGTGTTTGACAGTTAATAATTAGAGCCAGCGGGTATTGCATACTCATTAGGCGTCTTATATACATTAACTCATTTAATTCTCGTAGAAATGCTGTCAGGTAGGCACTATTGCCAAACCCATTTTAAAGACAAGGAAACTGAGGCATAGAGTGGTGAAGTAACTTGCCCAAAGTCATCCAAGTGGGAGAGTCTGGGTCCTAACCTCTGTGCTATGCTGCCGACTATGCAGGCTCCTGGTTAAATTCACTATCATTTGGACAAACCACAGCTGGCCCATCCACCATTAATTTTATCTATTCTGTCCCCTAAACCTCAGGTCAAGAAGATAGATCTCTCTAATAAAATTGCTCAGCACCTTTCAAAACTTTGCCTAGATGATAGAGCCTTAAAGGGATAGCTTCTTGGTCTACATAGTCATTTTCTAAGTGGTAGAAAATCACATCTTCTCCTAGGGAGAG